TCCGCATTTTAAATGAAATATATTTTGTTTTCTCCGCATTTAAGGTCAGTAGATTTTAACGAAGCCAATATAATACCTCATTAAAGCCTTTCTGTGCACGTTCATATACTTCAAGTCGTGACTTAGCTGAGAATAATAGAACTGTATCGTCCGCGTATGTGTCAACGGTAGATCTTTGAAGCTCTTAACTGTAACTTCTTAGAGTATTAGAAATGTTGTCCCATTCTACTGAACAAACATCCTTCAACTCTTTTATAATACTAAATACTTCATCTACTTCGGTGTCTAATAAAACAAAATAATTCAATGTTGTCGTAGACAATGTTGTAGAGATATTTTTAGAGATAGAGCTATTTCAGTGAACAATCTTTTTTGTTAAATTTCTGCTAACATCAGAAAAAGTATTGTTGATTTTATTTATTGCATCGATGGGGCTTATTTCTGTTGATAATACATCATGGGGTGACTCTTGCTTTTTTGAGTGTGAGCTAATATTTTTAATAAATTTCCAAATGAGTTTACTATTTTTACCTGCTTTTTGGAATTCTTTTTTTCGTAATCTAATTTTATTTTTTTCAAAAGGTTATTACAGTAATTTCTGTGTCTCTTATAAGATACAGAAAGTACCGTATTTCCTGGTTCGATTTTACATTTTTGATGTAGTTTATTTCTATGTCTTATGCAACGGACGAGACCAGGCGTATTCCATGGCTATATTTCCTAGATATTTTTGTAGTGACAGTATTTTTCAAAATTGCGTTTTGTAGTTAACTAATTAAATAACTTAAAGACACATTTGCGTTTTGATTAGATCGAAATTAATTTTACTTAAATCGCTGCGAAGGCTTTCCATATTTATTTATCCAGTAAAGCTACGTGCGCAAGTTTTTCTAGGTAAAGATTGTTGCAAGGTTAGTAGAATAGCATGGTGATCTGTGATTGTTGAGTCAGTGACTAATGTTGACGACGGTTTATAATAAAATGATCTAAGCATGATACGGTTTGACGAGTCGGGTGATTATGAACGGATAGGGAACGTGAAATGAACAAATATTAAAATAATTATGTGCATTAATGTCTGTTCTCCAATAAGCAATGTTAATATTTAAACGGCCAGTTAATATAATATTTTTATACGATGACAGGTTATGTAAGTTTGTGTTAAGGGATTCTAAAAATGTATCAATATTTGCCGATATATGGCTAACACAACTGTATCGCACTTTAATTCAATAACTAAACTATTACAAGCATGAAAAAATGGTTCGTATATGGATACATTTAAATTATTTTTTGTGTAGTTGTTGTGTTATTTCTAGTCTATGTAATAAAGCCTGAAATTCGTCCATGTTTCGGTTTATACTGCGTATATTTTGGGTTAGTATTTTTAGCGCCTTTTCTTCATTAATTAAAAATAATTTACACTCTTCAACTTTACAGATTCTTGTTTCAGACACAGAAAAACTATCTAAATTATAGACAAGTTGATTTGCCATATTGAATTAATACTAATACTATAAAGATAGGAAATAAAGACCGAACAGATAAGTAATTAGTAACGCTCTCAGGCGTCCTCATAGTTGATGGAGTTGATATAATTTTGCTCTGCAAACTTACGTGACGGAAATGATTCGTCACCAGTTTGATGATCACATTTCCTTCTGACACGTTTGCACGTAGCACAGGTCGGGGGTGAAGAAATGGTCTTACATTCCTTAGATGTATGTCCGAGTTCACCACAGTGAGTGCGGGTAGGACTGGTTTCTCTGCAGAACTTCGCAGCATGCCAATATTGCTGGCAATTAAAGCACCGAGTAACCAACGTAAAATGACGGACTGGACATGATGTCCAGTTTATAAAAACTCGGCCTTGATTTACGAGAGCTTTCTTGATATTAGCCGGAATCTCCAGAATATAGTTGTGTATGTGACTTACGTGGGATAGGTGGATGGCTGTATAGATCTTGCTCTTGGAGTCCATAGGGGCTGGTTCAACAGCGTCACGTACAACACACTTTGCGATGAGTGTTTTTAATGAGAATCACACGCGCATTTATTGTTGTTTTTTTTTTATTATTAACTTGGCGCCGGCGCAGGATTCGCGGCGTTCAGAGCGGGTGGAAGTAACGGAGTGACGTGTGACTTGAAAGCGAATTGAGAGCGAGGCGAAGACTTGACGAGTAAGAGACGACGACGGCGTCTTGAGAATAGCGACAGACTACAAGTTCATTTCAAAATGGTTCTAGGATATGCGGAGCGGGGAAAGGGGGGAAGGAATAAAGGGTGTGTGTTTGATACGTTCAGAAACGTGTAATGAGTGATTGAGTAATATTTAAATATAAAAATAATAGAATAAATACGTGAGTAATAAAATGGCGTAAACGGCGTTTACAACCCCCCCGGCCTAGAGGTATTTCCTCTAAATAAAGCGTAATAGTAAAACTAATATCTAAGAGTAAGAGTTAAAAATTTAGTTTTTTTTTTATTATTGCCGCGGAAGAGGGCAAACTCTAACCACTGGGCGAATAAAGCTACCAGCAGCAGTGCGAACTTTAACTGTGCGAATTACTGTATCCCTTCCCGGATAAATTTCCTCTACTGTGCCCAACGGCCAACAGAGAGGGTGCGCGTTATTATCCTTAATTACCACCACCGTACCTAATTCTATAGGATGCGAGGGTGTGAGCCACTTCTCTCTCTGCTGAAGAGAAGTTAAATATTCTTGGCTCCAGCGACGCCAAAAACTTTGAGAGAGTTTTGTTATGAGTTGAAAACGAGTTAAGCGGTTATCCAGTACCTCAGAAAGATCTTCTGCAGGTAGAAATTTAAGCGGAGTAACGTTTAAAAAGTGATTAGGAGTTAAGGCGCTAATACTCGAAGGGTCTGAGCTAAGAAAACATAGAGGGCGGCTATTTAGCATTCCTTCAACTTGAACGAGGACTGTGTTGAGTTCCTCATGTGTGAGTACTTGAGTCCCTATAATTTTATATAGGTGAGTTTTAACACAGCGAACATTAATTTCTGCGAGACCATTAAAATCCGCGGTCCGTACGGCGGACTATGCTTAAATTCAATGCGTTGCTCAGCTAACTGATTACCTATGTAATTTTTATGCGAGTCAGAGTCTAATAAAGCGTAAATTTCCTGTAGTTTGCGTTGAGCTCCAATGAAGTTGGTTCCTCCATCACTATATAACATAGAGACGGGGCCTCTTCTACTAATAAAACGTTTAAAAACTGCAAGGAACAAATCGGAACTAAGGTCCGAGACTAACTCAATGTGAAGCGCCTTCGTAGTTAGACATACGAAGATACAAATATATGCCTTTGGCTTTTGATTCCGCGACGTCGTCTGTGTGTGACGAAGTACGGACCGGCGTAATCCACAGCGGTAAAAGCGAAAGCCTTAGCCTCAGTTACCCGAAACTCTGGTAGATCTCCCATGAAAGGAGTTAGCGATTAAGGGCTGAGTCGGAAGCAAATGTTACAAGCGTGAACTCTTTGACGCACTAGGTTTCTAGCGCTAAGAATCCAAAACCTTTGACGCAGCAGTGCGATCAAAAGCGTGGGACCTGTATGTAGGTTAGAGTAATGAAAGTTATCAACTAGCATTTCGGTGAAGCGGTCTTTAGCGGGGAGCAGCATGGGGTGCTTTTGACTAAAATTCAACTGAGCATGCGTAAGTCGTCCACCGACGCGTAAAGTATTATCATCGTCGATAAAAGAACTGAGTTTTAAAAGAGATTTATTCATGCGTTTATCATTTTTTAATGCCATTATATCATTAGCGAAATGTTTATTTTGAATATAGCGTACAAGATAGCGTTCAGCGTTCATCATAATCTGCGGGAGTAAGAGCGTAAGAGCTTTGAAAATCGAAGTACATAAACGGCGGCGCGTAGCAACTTTTTAAAGGTTGAGATGCGGTCAATCAAACGTTGTAGCGGATGTTCGTCACTGGGACTTGAACTTAGTACCGAAGTAAGCGTTATTGTTTTACCTTCAAAACTTTCATCTTGTGTTAAACAAGGCTGAAAAGGAGCGATAGGCCATGTATTAATAGGCTGTGCAACCCATTCCGCAGCGCAAAACCAAAGCCTATTACATGCCAAGCTATAAGGCGTGACAGGGCGCGATATAATATCTGCGGGATTATCAGAGCCACTAATATGATACCAGTGTTTAGCGTCAAGTTTAGCGTTAATCTCGGTAATTCTATTTGCGACAAAGGTGTGAAATTTAAACGAAGGCGCGTGAATCCAAGTCAGCGTGACTGTGGAATCAGAGAATGCGAATATCGAATTTATTTTACAGCGTTTCGTTAATATATTAGTTACCGAATCAATTAAATTTGCTAAAAGTAGCGTGGCACAAAGTTCGAGGCGAGCGAGTGAAATCTTTCTTAGAGGCGCTAATCTAGACTTAGAAGCGAGTAGTGAAACGGAGACCTTCAAGTTGTCATCGGGACTAACACGAATATAAACCACGCCACCATAACATTGCTCACTGGCATCAGCGAAATGTGAGCGTTAGAGACAATACCTATATGTCTGGAAAAAACTAGTTTTGACAGATGTTGCAGCTCTTTATGAAACTGTATATATTTCTAGCGGATAGAATCGGGTACTTCTTGATCCCAATCAAGCGACAATTTCCAGCATAGCTGAACTAAAAGCTTCATGAAAGTAACAACTGGGCAAATTAAACCGATTGGATCGTACGGTTGCGGTTGCGGCGAGAAGAATACGTTTTGTACACGACTGTACCCCGGTATCTGCGGTACTGCCAAAGCATGCCTACAATTTTCGTAGTTGTTTGAGCAGCGTCGAAATCTACAAGATGCGGGCATTTAATTGAGTTAGGAATTTTATTTAATAAATCCGAGCTATTCGAGATCCATTTCACCAATTTAAAACCTCCCGCCGAAAACAAATCTATCATTTCTTTGTATATTTTCTCCGCGGCATCTACAGAGTCTACCGATGAAATATAGTCATCCATTTACATGTGACTCGCGGCCTCGTAAGCGGCAAGCGGCCACTTTACACGCTCGTCGTCTGCTAGTTGACGCACGACGCGCATTGCGAGGTATGGAGTACTAGACAATCCGAATGTCACTCTATTAAATTCGTATTCGTCAATATCTAAACTAGAATCAAATCTAAAGAGAATGCGTTGAAAAGGTCGGTGACCCGGCGTGAGTTGTACTTGAAAATACATTTTTTCTATGTCCTCTGACATGGCTATAGAAATCATGCGTAAATTAATTAATAAATTAAAAATGTTTTGTTGAAGGTTGGTACCCGTAAACAACAAATCATTAAGCGATTTTCCCAACGTCGTTTTAGCGCTGGCGTCTAAAACTACACGAATCTTCGACGTACTTTTATCTGGCCGATAGACGGCCCTATGCGGTATGTAATAAGAGTTGCGAATTTGAGCATCAGAGTTGACTTTTGATAAGTAACCCTGATCAATATAATTTTGTATAGTTGCGTTATAATCGGAGCGTAATTCAAGTGCGTTATCTAATTTTCTTTCCAAATTTATTAATCGTTTTTTAGCGATATTATACGAGTTTCCGAGCAAAAGGGGATCATATTTAAATGGGAGCGTTACAGTATATCTACCCGTCTCGTCGTGGGAATGCGTTGTCTGAAAGATACGTTCGCAGACTTCATCATCAGGACTTGTGTGAACTTTATCTGGTACCCTTCCGAGCTCCCAGAAGCGTTGCGTTAAGTCTTCTAAATTGTGCGTTTGAGTAGAACAGAAAAATGTTTTATTATTATTTTTGTGCGTGTTTAAATCGGAGTCATCACACTGAGCTCTGCCCATCATTATATAACCCAGCGTGGTTTCCATGGCAACAACTGAACACGGAGGAAAGCTAATCTTATTGTTGCGAATTAAATGCGGGAATAACTCGTTACCCAGTAAACAATCTATTTCCGAAGGGATGTAAAAATCATCATCCGCTAGTGGTATGTCGCGTATACCAGCCAGCTGCGATATATCCACGTGATAGTTCGGTAAACGATCCGTGATGCTATCTATGACTAAAGCTTTAATATGATAATTACAACGCACGTCAAAGCGGGATTGAATTTTAAATGTAACAAAACCATACGAGCTACTCTCAGAGTGCCCTATGCCCTTTACTACACACGGGTTCGGTGATATTTGCAAATTTAATCGTTCACAACATACCTTCGTAATAAAGTTAGACATAGATCCTGTATCTAGAAAAGCGCGTACCTTTTTTCGCTGTCCGTTACAATTAAATGCATATACATAAGCGGTAGGTAACAAAACAGTGGTATAATTAATATCTCCGTTAGTATTTGTAACGGACAAAGAAACATTAGCGTTTTCAGCATTCGAAACTGAGCCTTGTGTATTAGGGAGCGAAGGCTTTAAATCGTATGCGCGCGCGTCATGGGTCGAACGATCTATTCGTCCAGCCGAGCAGCTGTTTACATTCGCGGCGGAGGTGGTGGTGCAACAAAGTATGATGCCTTCTTAAACAAGTCGCGCAACGATTTTGTGATTTACAAAAATTAATAGAATGAAATCCTAGGCAGTTAATACAATAGTCATATTTTATTACAATTTGATTGCGAGTTTCTGTGCCCTTATTTAAAAATTCAGGACATTTAAATAGTGCATGAGCGGGACATGATTTACAAATAGAACAATAGTTATGCGAGCGTATATGCATATTATTATTTTTATATTATTAACCGTACTATGAACGACTGAGTGTTTTTCGAATTTTTAGTTGAGTTTGCATTTTTATTTTTATGAGAGTGCGTTATGTTAGACTGTTTATTATATGAGTATGACTGTGTGCGTAATGTATGAATTTTATCCTGTTCTTTTATAAACTGTTTAAGATTGTCGAAAGTAGGTATATTGACATGTCTATAAGACTGTTCAAATAGCGTAAGAGTGTCCCTATCGAGTTTAGATAATGCGATATGCGTTATGATGAAACCGGCGAGGTCATCGATGCCTAAGCGTCGTAACGCGGATTTGGCTGAGCAAAACCGTTCAATAAAAGCGTCTAATTAATATAATTTAAATTTTAACATCTGTTCTAAGTACATAGAAGCTTGAACTCTAATGTCCTCATATTTTTCGATTAATGCATTCCAAATAATGTCATAATTCTCACCAATAGGTGGAATGCTAGAACAAACTGATAAGGCCTTGTTTGAGAGGTTACCTACGAGGTATTGAACCTTTTCGGCTGCGGTGAGTCGAGGATTATCATGAATGAGACTTTTAAAGCTCCGATAAAACACTGCCCAATTGTTAGGGTTACCATCGAAGCAAGCTAATTGCAGTGGTGGCAATTTTGGCTTAATTTTTGGTTTCTGCACGCAGTCGGGCCGCAGAAAAGAGTTCTCAACCATTTTAATATGACAATACAAATCATCAAATGAGTTTATTTCCGAGTAGGTAGGCTTGACCTCTTTGTCCTGTTCCATAAACAATAAATTCAAATCATCTACTGTTTCTAGAAATTCGGTTCTAGTATGTTCTAATGATTTTCTACGCGATAAGAATTTAGTTTGCTAGATATGATCGGAAACCTTTAAGCTGAGATCATAAGTTTCTTGCGTTCTTTGAAATAATGCTTCTTTTTTAGATTGCAATAAAGTAATTTTACGAAGTAGTTGGGTGGCCATATTTAAAGTGAAACAAGTATGACCGGATGCGTCTGAGAAATAATTGAAGTTAACTATTAACTATTAAAAATATAATATCAATATATTATTGGATATTATAAATATATACTATTAATAATAATAGAATACGTAAATAATGTGAGTAGCGATAAATAAGCGTTGCAAAGAAATAAAAATGGCGGATGCGTGCCATCCATCCCTGGATTTCTTGCGTGGAAACGACTTCGGTAAGCAGGTGGTCCTTAGGCGGTTGCAGAGGATCGTCTATAGAATGGACCTGTTGTGAGGGTTTTGGCGGAGGGCTTCTTCGCATTAATTGGCTACGGCCAAAAGGGCTAGCACCTGGGTTAGACATACTGTCACCGTTTCACTATTTATTGATAAGATGTTACACCACATAACTGAGTTTATGAATAAAAGGTAAGCGGTAATCAATCGTGACACACTTTACGTAGATTGCTTACGACACAAATCACTATTATACTAAAAATTTTTTTACTAGCGTACATATTAACGTAAATAAAAAACGCGTCTGCTTAGTCAATGTTGTTGTTGTTTATGGTTCCAAATTCAAATTTTTGTTTTTTTTTTGTCGTTGTTAGATTGGCACAACTGTTTTCCATTTTGGCGCGGAGTTTAAGTTGCATCTATTATTTATATTAAATACAGTGCTGTTTTTAGTTACATCTTATCTAGTGTGTATTGCGAATTTCATAGTGGACAAAAACATCGAACAAAGAGTTTGCATTCGCCAATGGAATTTCGTGTTTGGAGTTACTGAAAATGTTACAGAAGGCTTACAGTGAATCAACTTTATAAAAAAAATGTGCTTATGAGTGGTACAAAGCGTTCAAAAGCGGTCGCGATGTGATGGAAGATTTGCCTCGCTCTGGTAGGCCATCAACGTCTGCAAGTGAAGTTAACATCGCAAAAGTGAAGGAAATAGTGACTGAAAATCCTCATTCAACTTTGAAAGACATAGCCACCGAACTTTTTGTATCTTACGAGTCGATCCGTACCATTTTAACTAATTAGTTGGGTATGAGACATGTTACTGCTCGGCTAGTCCCAAAAGACCTGATTTTTCTCCAAAAACTCAATCGCATGAGAGTCGCTGAGGACATGCTAGAACGAGTCAATTCCGACCCAACATTTATGAAACGCATTGTTACTGGTGACGAGACGTGAGCTTACGAGTTTGACATGCAAACTAGTCAACAAGCTTCGGAGTGGCGCCTTTCAACTGAACCGAAACCAACAAAACCACGCCAAAGTCGATCAAAAGTCAAAGTCATGTTGACTGTTTTCTTTGACTATCGCGGTGTCGTCAATCATCAGGATGTAGGTAATGATTCAACATTCAGGCAGCGATAAAGCGGGCCAAGAGCAAGGCCCGCCGCGAGATGCTGGAGACACTGGAGCGGGATCCGTGGGGACGCCCCTACCGTATGGATAGGGGCAAGATGCGCCCATGGGCCCCGCCGCTCACACGGTGTCTTCAGCCAGAGCTGCTTGAGTGGGTCGTTGGCTCCCTGTTCCCAACGCGAGTGGTGGAGCATACTCCGCCACAGATGGCTCCGCCTCCGGCGCTTAAAGCGCCTAACGTGGATGACGACGACGTGCCTGAGGTCACTGGGGTGGAACTAAGGGCCGCCACCCTTGTTACGGCTTAAAGCTAAAAACACCGCCCCGGGACCCGATGGCATTCCTGGTCCGATGGTCCTGGCCTTAGTCGACGAGGCTCTCGAGCCCCGACTGCGAGGGTTCTTCGGCGCATGCCTCGAGCGGAGCCAGTTTCCGAAATTGTGGAAGACGGGGAAACTGGTCCTCATCCGAAAGGAGGGGCGCCCGGCTGACTTACCGTCCGCCTACCGGCCCATAGTGTTGCTTGACGAGGTGTGCAAGCTCTTTGAAAGAGTGATTGCAAGGCGCCTCGTCAAGCATCTCGTGATGGTTGGGCCGGATCTGGCTTACAAACAGTACGGTTTCCGTCAGGGGCGCTCCACCGTGGATGCGATCATGCGCGTGAAGGCTCTGGCGGAGGAAGCAGTCTCCCGGGGCGAAGTGGTATTGGCGGTGTCCTTGGACATCGCCAACGCGTTCAACACTATGCCCTGGAGCGGCATCAGGGAGGCGCTCGTGTATCACGAAGTGCCTCTCTACCTATGCCTTAGTCGGGGCATATTTGTCGGAGAGAGCCGTCGTCTACCCCAGTAGGACCGGTCTCGGTAGGCGTGAAATGTCGTGCGGTGTTCCGCAGGGGTCGGTGTTAGGGCTACTCTTGTGGAACATCGGCTACGTCTCGAGGTGGCTCTGCACAAGTCCGAGGCCCTGTTCTCCCACGGGCTTCGGAGGAAGCCGCCTGAGGGATCTAGCCTCACGGTAGGAGGCACACGCATCGACATCGAGCCCTCGATCAGGTATCTGGGGCTCGTACTCGATGGCCGATGGAACTTCGGATATCATTTCCGAGGTCTGGTCCCCAAGTTGGTTGAGGCAGCGCGTGCGTTGGCGCGGCTGCTGCCCAACATGAAGGAACCCGATGACTCCTGCAGGAGACTCTACTCGGGGGTTGTGCGGTCCATGGCCCTTTACGGGTGCCCAGTATGGGCGGGGCCCTGAGGGCCAGCAACGTCGCGATACTGCGACGACCGCAGCGAGTGCTGGCCATCAGGATCATAAGGGGGTACCGCACGATCTCCTTTGAGGCGGCGAGTCTCCTGGCCGGAACTCCACCGTGGGACCTGGAGGCGAGAGCCCTTGCGGCTCTGTATCAGTGGCGCAAGGAGGCGCGGGAGTTGGGTCGATGCCCCGAGATTCGAGAAATCGATGACCGGAAAGCCCAACTCCGCCAGGTCATCATAGGGGAGTGGAGGGAACGACTCGGGCAACCGAGCGCCGGGCACGCCGTCATCGCGGCGGTAAGACTCGTTATGGAGGATTGGCTCGAGAGGCGTCACGGGACCCTCTCATACCGATTGACGCAGGTGATCACTGGGAAGAGATGTTTCGGGGATCACCTGTGTCTGATCCGCAAGGAGCCAACGCCTGAGTGCCACCACTGCGATGGCCAGACCGTGGACACGGCTCTCCACACGCTGGCAGAGTGCCCGGCGTAGGTTGAGCAGAGGCGAGACCTCGTGGCGGCCATCGGTGTAGGAGTTCTCTCAC